TTATTAGTACTTAATACAGATACTTTAGTAACACTTTTTTAATTATTGACACTCGACACCTGAGGTTAAGCTGTGTCCGTTGCGTGATTTTTAGCAGCGGCTAATACCATGTCAAATTACAAATTAAAGTCAAATAGCATGTAAATATTTGCTGTGTGACGCAACTGATAGGGCGTTAAACTTAACTAAAAATTTAGCGTTGATTATCAGCAGTAATTACACTGTGGAAAAGCAAATAGCGACTGTCCTAGTTCGAACTTTAAAAAAATATAAAAATAAAAACTATCACTGGATAATTGATTCTAATTTGTCATTCTTGCGTTACAAATTGAAAATTTACTGATCTTGGTTGTGGTTTTTTAAATTTATGTTCCTGGCTATTTATGCTCACAGTATGGAAAAAGTTAAAAAAATTAGTTTTCATCTAACAACCCCTAATACCACGTCACCTAACTTGTTTTTACAAAAAGTCGATTTTGCAACCCTGTTTAAAATGCAACAGTATAAATAGTATTAGGTTTAATAATACTATAAGTGAGCCTCTAGTAAATGTTTTTGTGCTAAAAAAAATATTATATTAACATGCAAGCATGTTTACTGATACATGCTGATAATGTTTAGACTGATAAGGGTTGTTTGCATTATCATAAGTACCGAACATTAGCTTTGTTCGCTTTAAAAAAAAGTGTACACTAATTAGTGTTTAGGTCAAATGTAAGGAATGTGATCAGGTGTGATATTTCAAAACAAACGCTTTTGGTGAAGATTAATCAACTGATAATTTATTTCTATTGATAGTAGAATTGATTTGAAATACCACACCTGATCACACCCCTTACTAAGTGTTACTTAACCTAGACACTACACTAATTAGTGTACACTTTCAAATCGAACCAAGCTATTACAAACTGCTGGAAAAGCGGTTTACTGATAAGAGTTAACATTTTCTTAAATAGTTTTGACAATTAATTATTACAACACCGCCAAAATGGTTAACAGCAAACCGTTTGCTTTCGGTAATTTCGCGAAAATAGTTGTTAAAGTTAGTGTTACTAGAGTTAAATGTTATAATAGAAAGAGGAAAAAATCTGTTACAATAGATTTCAAGTATATAAATAAATATTTATGATTATTTTAAAAAAAATGTATTATTTGTGAAAACAATGATATCAGTATTTTTGTTTCCATTAGTTAAGAATAATATACTATAATTTATAATATGGAATAATTTGTCTAAATGTAAGTGTAATATTTGTAAAATGTATAATTTATGTTTTATCGTCGTTTCTATAGTTATTTACTTTTATAAGTATTGCCATCATGGCCTTTTGATTTGCGTAATTTCCCATTGTCTTATCTGGCATTATTTTACACAGGTGCATCAATCATATACTTGACCTACTTAGTATGAAAATGTCCTAGCTGCTTCGCGTAACAAAATTTTAATACATATTTGGCACATCGGTTATGTTAATATACACCTGAAACGACTGATTTCTACAATGGAAATGTTACAATCTTCCAATAGTTGTACCAATATAAACGTTAGTAAAAGTGTTCATTAATTTTTAAATCGTTTCACTTTTATTAAAATACACTGTACACACGCACTATAGTAAGCCAAAATCCTAATTAATCAGTAATTTTGGCATTCAACACTGATATAATATATATTATGATACGTTAATATGTAGCTGTAGCTAAGTTCTTTAAAGCCAATACTACACACGAACATAATATTGGACAGAAATTTATTAAATTAAATTAACAACAATATAGTTCATATATTTATCCCAGAGACTTTAAACTACCAGAAAATTATAAAAACAGACAATTATTTCAGATATGAATCGACATAAAACTCGCTGCAAGTGTTTATAATCTCAAAAACATAAAATGTACGATTTTTTTGTTTAAATTTGTGTTTTTTATTTTGTATTTCTGTTTACTAAACTAATTGTCTTTATACTACCAAAAATGCAACACAATTATTTGATATTGTTTACATTGCGTATACAGTGTGATTAAATATTTACTAACAGCATTTTTTCTGTGAAATGGTTGTTTTAACTAAGCATATTTAAAATAAAATATTTATTTTGTCGATGTTAAATGATAATATTATATTATATTGGATACCTACAACATAATGCAAACCTGGGTGCATCTCTATCGGTTGCCTAAAAACTGTAAACACTGCGACAATTTTGACATTTACATATTGATCGTCACGGTCCCGTTTCCCCTCTAAAACCCCATTTGAGATAGGTGTCGGAATGTATTTCGGACAAGAGGAACAATAATAAAAAAGAAGCCACCAGTGCTAAAAAGGACTGTAGGAACACCGGAAAATATGGAGAGGTTAAGTGAGTCGTTATGTCGTAATTGAGGTGTTTCTATCTAGACTCTTTAGCGTCTTCAGGAATTGTGAAAAATTTCATGAGGGTTTGGACGACTTTTTGGTTTTCTGGCTTTAAATGGCTTGATTACATATTTTGTGCTATTCTATGTATTGAGCTGTGGTTTCTAAAGATAATAAAATTTTTATATTTTTCTTATTATAGCATTAGTTCTTAGTTATAATTATTTATGAACTATATTTGTATTAACCCATAAATATCAGTGCACATAACTTTTTAATACATTGGTAAGAAATGAGTTTTTAAATAAAACACAATTAAATTTATAAAAAACAAAAAACAGTTAGGGTTTTATGAAATAAGTTACGTTTAAAAATAACTATTATTGGTTCATAAGACGTATTAAACAGGTCTATAAAACTTAATAAAACCAAATTTAATTTTCTAGTATGAATTGATAATATATCCGTAGCATTTTTAACCACCGTACCCTGTTTATTTTATCAAGAATTTTCGCGGTTCATGTTTTTCAAATAAAGCATACATCAGCTATTTAAAAATTATAACGCTGTCAAACGAAAAATATACTTTTTTTTAAAATATAAACTAAATAAAACCAAATTTTAATTTTTTATTTAAATAAATGAAAATAATACGTTTTGCATAAATCAAACAGGCCTCCTGTACAATTTATACACGAAATGACACGTTTTAAAGCGGAAATAATACGTTTTGATAAAAAATTGGGAAATACAACCTTTTGGAAAAAAATAAGTATACTCCCTATACTTTGTATACAGGAAATGATACGTTTTTTGTTGACTAAATATTATTCTCCAAATGTTTTACCACTTTAAAGCATACCCACACTAACCAGTTAAGGTGACTAATGACTAAAACAAAAAAAAATTAATTTTACAAGATTTTTAAAATAATAAATAATAGAGGTTTATGCATACTAATATATATATATATTTTTTAATTTATCACTTTATTATCGTTCCGTGTATTATGATTAACAAGATTGTAATACTCCATAAAATTAGTAAATTAAATATTTTACATAACATTATAATTTGTTTAAATTGATAACCAAAAGTATAGTTATTTAACTAAAACTGTGATATTAGGTATGTAATTAGTATTAGGACACTTTAATCAGTTATTATAATAAAAACTTAGAATACTGAATGTGTATTGTGTATCGCCTTTCAGGTATGAACAGATTATAATTAAATAAGTATAATATTTTAACAATATTAAAACTTAAGATAACAATTTTTTTAAACTGTAATATTTTAAGTATAGTTGGTGTAAAATTAGGAAAATTAAACATTAGTTTAATAAGTAAATAGTTGGTGAGATTGTTGTTACGTAGCTACCAAAACTGTTATATTAATTTACATAGTTTCTTGGATCAAAAGGTTACTTTAAAGGTTTTAATTTACGTTTAAAATTCTTTAAAATTGTAAAGCAATGGCTTTACAATTTGCAATTGGAAAAAATGTTGGCTAAAAATCGAGTCATATACAGGGTGGGGCGTGGTTACTTCCTTATTTTAAAAAATCGTAACACAAAAAGTATTAGAAATATCGATTTAATTTTTTTTTCATTGTACAGGGGTACATTTAAAGTTTTATTTCACTGGGTTTTAAAAACGACATCTCGAAGGTGGCCACCGTCCACGGCAATGCACTGAGATGGCCGAAATCTCTTTAGCCGCCGAATGTTTGCGTGCAGATCGCCTAGAGGATTTCAAAAGTGCCGCCCTTATCCTCCCGATGTTTTCTGGCGTCCTGAAGGTTCTGGAAGGTCCATCACATTTCTTTTTCACAGCTAACAGTATCCCTAAACGTGTCCTCCCATAAACCAATTGATTTCTGATCAGGCACATGACCTACAGGCACGATGTTGAAATGCTTTCTGAAGTTGAGTTGTGATGACCGAACGGCGAAGGAAAAGTAGGCCTCCACGGCGAACGCGCGCTCCTCCTTTGTCCACTGCATGTTGACATTGAACTAGTCATAAAAAAAACTTTAGATACCGAGCTTTCGAACGCGCCATATACCAACACTCTAGGAGTAATGGTCACACTGTGGCGCGAGTTTCAAATAAGGAAGTAACCGCGCCCCACCCTGTATTATACTATTATTATTTTAAAATGTTAACAAACAAAATCGTTCTACCCTAAAATGTTCTAAACTTATAACTAAAAAATTAAAAATAGATTTATTGTAGTTGAATAACTACAAGTATTTAACTGGGTAAAATACATACAAATGTTTTGCATTTGCAGTGTTTTAAGTTTTACAATAAAAATAATTTCAAGTATATATCAGACATACAAATATAGCATAGCTGGTATGTTAACGTTTGTAGAAGTATAGGATGCAAGTATGCAACATTTAATGTGTCAGAAACAATATTGCTTAATTGGATCAGTGAACAAAAAAAAAAAAAGTACTCGTTGTATACCATAGTTATTATAACATTTAATCATATCTAATATTGTACTAATATAATTAATACAACGAAATTAGAGTCATTATTTATATTATTTAAATAAATGTAATGAATCTGATATTTCATATAATGTTTGGAAAAATCATATTTTACATTACACTTTTTAGTGTATGCGTAGCTAGAAAATTACATAGAATTTTACACAATTGAAAAATGGTATTATGATAGAAAATTATTACAATTTACAAACATTGATAGGCTTATTACAATTAATATTGGCAGCCTGTTATACAATACACTACGTCGACGAATAATCAGCGTTTAGGTAGCATTCGTTTTCCATCCTAGAAATTCATTTGTTTGATTGTTGACCGTCCATAAATGATCGTAAAGAGTACGGAAGTACTCTAACATAGGATTTGCGTCCAATCGAGAATGGCCAACTATAGTTTCCAACAGGCTTTGCCATTTGACCGACGCACCCTTTGACATCACTGGTCTTGCCGTAGATAAACAAATTTGTTTTTTTAGAAATAATATTAACAGCTAATACATACTACAACCGATAAATGAGTACTTTATTATTTTGGCGATTTTTTTGTACCCTCTCAAATTGCATTCGTACAGCTGTTTTGTGTCGGCGTGCTTAGGATCATACTCACCGCAAGCTATGCATAATGCTTTGAATATCTGGAATTCTATAATTGGCTGCAAAAAGTACCTGTTGACACACAATTAACATCAGAGCATTGCCAATAAACCGACCCACATGGAATTCTGGTGTACAGCTATGATTTATAAAAAATAAACGCGAGAAGCTAGGCTAACTTGTTCCAACCAAGAAGTTGGTACTCGGTCATATTAGTTCAGAAGCTGTTTTCGATAGTAAAAACTTTCTTTGGTTGTTTATTTTTATTTACTACAAACATGTTATATTTTAAGTGATAATAACTGTATTTATTCATCTCAAAACGGGTCTAATTTAATGTACATTATTATAGGTTGAAACAAAATTGGGAAGTTAAAGGTTCGGGAACGGCACTCGTCAACAATTAATGTGATTTTTAATTGGCTAATTCTAATTTGTCATGTAAATAAAATTCATGAAATAATATTGCGATCAATTTGACAACATATAGCTGATGTGCTAGGTGTTCATAATTTTTACATATTATGTTTTATTTACTTTATTTGTGGCAGTTCTGTCAAAACGCTATACGAAGCGCTCGGATCGAACGGCTTGTAATTGCTGTTGGCCGATTTATCTTTACCCTTGGCTATGGGTGACGAAACGCCTTCGTATTTGAGTCTGTACTCGGAGAAACAATCATTAAAACACAATTAAAATTAGGAAAAAAACAACAATAAAACTCGTTAGGACCTTTTGCTCCACCAAAAATCGTTCATGTGCTTGGGCGCGAATGTCCTCTTGAACACTCCAGTGTGCCAAAGATCGCTGGCGTAGGCAAATGGCAGGATCGACACTTTTTTTAGTGCCATCTGCAACAGAAATTTGTGTCTACTGTCCTGGCTGTCCGAATGCCTGTCAATAAAGTCTTGATACCGCACGGATAACACCAGGGCGTTAATCAAACTCTCCGAAAACACTGCAAGGCAATATAATATCAGTCAAACGTTTAACGTACCAAGTATAGGTATAAGAGAACAGAAAGTATATTATATTTAAATCAACCGTATACCAGTGTCGGCCGGTCGTTGGTACACTATCGGTTGTTTCTTGTACGCCATGAAATAATGCACCAACCCTATTTGGGCGTGGAACTTGTATACGTCTTCAGCACCTCCTTTACAGCAAATTTTGATCCTGAAATTTAGGTGTCATTGTCAATGCCTTCTGTTCCGCCCATCTGTACTAATGTTAGTTATTTTGCAACCTGAAATCGTTGTCTTTGTAAATATCCCAGGACGACGGTTGGCAGTCGACAAACTCATCGGATTTTTTGAATAATGACCGAGCCCACACGGATTTAGGTAGATTTCCCATGCCGATCGACGAATAAAACCCGTTGGCTTGGTCGAACAGCCGTTTAGGCGTCTTGAATACAAAAAGACATTAGCTAATTAATATCATAATACTAGTATGTATCTACCTTAATGTCCATCTTATCATTTTTGTCCGGTACGAATTCGTCCGGCATGGAATGTATTAAATTAGTCCAAGGCTGACCTAACACAGAACCTGTGGACAATGTTAGATGCATGTTAATCTCTTGCAAAATGTATTATAATAATAGGGGCTTGTCGGTAATATAAAATTATAAGCTAGGGAAGGGAGTTATAAAAATAAGCTTCTTAATTGTTTGCTGAGTAATTGTATAAAAGATCAAAAGGAGGACTTTCTCAATGCATAGACGTTTTGTCGTTTTGTACCTACGACTCTTTTCGATAGTCTCATAATAAATGTATTCTCCTTCTCCTCTTAATTCAAACCATTCATAATGATCCATTACTATAATATTACAGTTTCACATAGCGATGAAATGGTTGTGCGTTAAGGGTTTACCAGTGTCAGCTATACTTTAGCTAAAATTGTTTATTTTTTAGCAAAAACAAACAATTGTATCTATAACTTTTTTTCCATAGAAAATATGCACGGTTACTTAATTTTTTAAACACTCTTATTTTAATATATTTATTTATTGTATGTTTTGAAATCGAAAATATTTAAAAAGAAATAATGATTATGTATAATGAATTGGCAACAAACACAAAAGTAAACATATTAAACAAAACCCGTAAATAAGGAGAGGGTTGAACCAAAAAGATGTATTTAAACCAACAATTTTTCTATTCAATAACAAAAATAATAAAAAATAGCTTTAACAACCAGGAAACAGAAAGGTACGGTTTTGATGGAGAACAGCCATGCTTATAGCTTTTATTTATTTTCAAACCAATTATGATCAAATAATTAAAAACTCACCCAATAAATGCACGGGGATAGGGCCTTTGGCGGCTACAGTGTTTGGTCCGAATTTGTTTCTGAGTAATTTGCGGACGTAAGTATACAATTGCAAGTACAGCGGTTTAATGTTTTCGTAAATCCGGTTAAAATTTACTGGACATTCAGTATAATAAGGCTTAGCGTGATATGCGATTACATCTGAAACATCTTAAACGACAATGGTAATTGATTAACATTTCATTGTTTTTAGCTTCAATGCGAAGTTGAGAAGGTATTGTTTTTATTTATTTTTGTACGTGGACCGATTTCCTTATATTTTAGAAAAATATACACAAAACTACGGCGTGCCACAACTTTTAGATAATAAGTCTAATTACTTTTAAAGTTATGTGGTATTCTTTATAAATAGGTAGTATTACCGATGTACAACAGTTTGTTAAGAATATATCATTAATTTTTTCCTCCAAACGGAGTAGAAACTGTTTCTTTATTTCCCTTTTTTAGCTGTAGTGGTAGAACTTAAAATTAGGCTGAAGGTAGATCGATAGGGCTTTAAGCTATAGGATTGTGCATTTTTCTCTAAACAACAAATTTAAGCCTTTTGTTGCCATTCAAATATTTTTTATCAGTGTTTAATAATTCTACTGTCTACAAAATATGTGCATCGAAGTGTTTATTTAGAAAATAACTCATGTCTAATAAGTATAGTTATAATAATTCCTGAAAGCCCATAACTACTCCGACCTCGATATTCACCGTCACCACTAGCTCTGACCCTGCTATGCCCTGACCACTTTTCTTGTTTTTTTTTTAAATAGACTTACTATTCAGCTTAGCCATGTTGTTGAGATGTCCGATAAATTTTAAGTACTGATTTTTTATATCATAACTGGTATAATTATGCCAAGCTTTCCAATAGTGTTTCAGTTCGGCCGGATCCCATGAACTAATCATGAGTTCTTTGATATCTGAAATTAAACAGTAGTGTTACTTTTAGAAACAAATTAAAAAAAAAAAAGTCAAATATTGGTTATAACTAAAATAATAATACAAATGGCCATTTAATCTAAATACCGGTAAAAGTAATCCCGCACGATCGATCGTTTCGCAAGTATTCACAAACTTTGCCGTCGATCAAAGCGTTAATCATATTGCTCTTTTGCATTATAAGCTGAAAGGCGACTATTCGATTACACAAGCTCTTAGGATTACGTATTACGTGTATAAAACGACAACCTTTTTATAAATGGCCAAGTCCAATTGACATACACCCGGACTACTCAAAAAGGAAACGTTGTGTATCAAGTCTTCGTAGTTCAAGCCAAACGCTAAAGACATATTTTTAGCCATTGACATCAGTAATTTTTGAAAAAGGAACAAATTCACCGAAGCGTTGATCTTTATACAGAATATTAACATAGAACAATGATAAATGAGGTTTAAAGCCGGGCTAACCATTATAAGTATAAGGCTTCAGCCATCGGATGTACAATATACAATTATTATTACTATTGAAACGTGAAACAATAGAATACTTTTTCAAATAGACTTGTGACGACTTACAGCACTTTTTATCGTTTCCACACTGACGTTTGTGTTGTACTTCCACTGAGCCAACGCGTATGAGTGCAGCTCATCTTCGGTCATTTTATGGATCTTACGAAATTTCTGTTCCAAACTGCTAGACGAATCTATTGACTGAACAAAGCAATTTGATGTTATACGAACAATGGACCGTCAGAGGTTTTTATTGTTTACTGTTTCATTTGACTTCTTGCTCATCTCGTCTAGAGAAATCGCACCGGCTGGCCGCATCGTCAATAATGTGACAAAACTAAAATAAGAACATAGCAAAAACGTTAAATCTATCATTTTTCAGATTTCATTACTCAACACATGTCCTGGTACCGGGAAATCAACGTAAAATAATAACATTTAATTTATCGTAGCCCAGACCCGAGTGTAAGAAACAACTGAATAAACATGCAACTTTATCACTATAGTAACTCGGTTTGATTTTAGTTATACCTAACTCAAAGCAAAAAAAAAACACTTATTATTTTATTACAAGTATAGTGTGGCAAAACGATTTTTTTCATACATAAATACATCAACGATTAACCATTTTATAAAACGTATACCATTCAAATAATTATTATTACATTTCCCAAGATTAATACGTTAAGCAAAACTTGTTAGGATCTTTGGTATATTTTTTTGCACTGTGAAAGTATACAACTTTACCATACTTCATGTTATAGATAATTTATCCAATGCCCTGAACTGTACAATAATATTAACTCGTACAATCTAATTAATAATTAACAATTGGGTATTTTAACGGTAAAGTTCAACGGAACACAGTTTACAAATACTGCTGCCACCTGTAGATGAAATATGAATAAGCACAGTATACGCAGCACTGCAACAGAGAGCGCTAGTCATTCTCCAACAGGTTTTTGCCATGAAGTTAGGTAATGGGCGAAAAGGTTACATTAAACATTTGTAAACATTGTACCTAACAAAAAATCAATGTAATTCTACTTGTACAATTTGCGCTAACTTATAATAATGTTCTAATTTGTTATATCTTTTTGTGAACAGCAAAATATAATGATGTTTGAGTGAAAACAATTTTTTTTCGATTGGTTCAAAGCAATACGAAAGTAAGCCTGACGTATATAAAACGGCATAGCACATAAACTTATTCATATTTAAAATAATTTAGAAGATTATAGTTTTCACAATTATTTGTTTTAATATGATATCTAGGCGTAGAAAAATATATTGTCGATTTTGTCAGGTATGAAGTTATAGGTAAGTCCAAGTATTTTTTATAATATTTTTGTTATCTGCTTGGCTAGGTAAAAAAGTCACTCGTTTAGGAGTTTACATGAATTTAACTCTTTGCAACTTACCTGATACCATAAAAAACCAACAATTTCAACTATTTTTGTTCAAGTATATAAAGTCTCTTCTAATGCGACCATAATTTACCAATGCTATGTGCAAATTCAAAATATGATTGGTTATTTTATAACTAAAAATCCATGTTGATTAATAAAAAAAAAACAATACAGTAGACCCTAGCATATGACCTGGGCAAAGCATATTGGGGAGGGGGAGGTTACAGGTCTACAAAAATTATTATAACTGAAAGTGATAGAATCACTTTTAAATAAACGTTTCGATGCGTATCTGCAGATATACAAGCAATAATAGTGTATTGGCGTTGTTACTCATACATCGTATTTAATAGCATAATGAAAATATTTTTTAGAAACCTGTTGACTGTTTAATCGATTCAATCATAGCAACCTAGAAATTTACTATTGTCAGTGTAATTTTCGGCTTTTTTTCTAAATAATACTGTACTTATGTTATAGCCCCACCCTAGATTAAGCTCCAGTCTAAATTTCAGGCGTTAAGTCCTAAAGTTTTGTTGGAAAAAGAAAAATAAGGAAAGACTTTTTACCCCTTCTAAAGGTAAAATATTCAAATACGTTTGCTTATATACAATTAGGCTGTACTGTCATCCTATGTGGTCACGTTTATATGTTTTAATTTAGTTTAATACTCGAGGTAAGTATTTGTTTACTACAAATACACCTATCAATAAGATCAAAATAAAAGTCAACAGTCAGTATTGACTTTGACTTTGATGTATATTTTTACAGTTTTCAAAACGTACGTCCAACGCTGTTCAACTTTTTTTTTTACCATAATTTGTTATATATATATATATATATTATATATTATATGTTATAATAGTATTAGCCATACAAGAAAAACTTTGATGCCTACCCAAAATGAAATATTATCGTGTTAGTCATGTAGAAAAATAAGTGAAATCCTAATTATTTGGTTTTTTTTTTTAAATTTTAATAGGCTGCTCATATTTCATAACATATTATGTGGTGTACAGTGAGAACCCATGGGAAAATGTTATTCGCTACTTTGTTAGGAGCTCAAGATTATACGATTACAATTTAACGTGACAAGTTGAATTCAAGTGAACATTGTATGGGACCCTGTGTCACGTTGGCTGTAATGAGCATAAAATACATTCAAGGTTTTGCATGAGTCGTCGACGATTTTGCGACCGTCGGGTTTAAAAAAAATCAAACTAAGCTGATCTCTCTCTCTCTCCGTGTACTAATTTGTATGCGAATTAGTCGATATGCTAACGCTAATTGGCCGTGGTATTTCGGTACTATAGCTGTAGTTGTTCACCTTTGGGAAACATTTCCAAATGAATAAGACGAACATAGTACAACATCACGATTTTAAATACTATTTTAATTTAAGGACATTTTCTAGAAGTCACCATCATTAAATGATGGTGATCATTATATTATCCAATAGTTTACTTTCGTGAAAATTTGTATTAAAGTCACTTAAATCAGCCTTTTGATTGTTACCGCTTCGTTTATATTATATTATGCGTAAATCCAGTGTGTGCCAGTGTTTTCGTTCAATGAACCATCGCTATTGCGCTATGGAGTTTATATATATATATATATATTTTTTATTCATTTAACATGAGAACAAACAAACCGTACAAGCGCTGGACGATTGATATTCGTTCGGTGCCCGCCCTTAAAATATAATAAAATAATTCAGGGTTTTCGATTACCACCAGGTATTTTTACGATTGGATCACGATAAAAACGGTGGAAACAAATAATACAAACTTAGGGGGTGGTATTGTACATTATATTTTTTATTTTTTATAACGCCGCGGGACTACGCGGTCTTTAATTTCATTATTGTTATTATTATTACTATGAGGTTCACCACCGAATACCCACACAGATTAATGCGCCTGTAATAACATATAGTATAGTTTTATTTTTCCCACTTGCGTTTATGACGAATGCCCACTTTGGTGGTGATTTACGTAATCCTTACTTTTGAACTGCCCGATAACAGATCCAGAGCCCCCTGAGCTGTGTGTTTATCCTTTAATCGCGGCTATCATCATAACAATAATATGTTTATATACTGTTTAGTCAAAAGGGTCGATTACATATTATGTATATTACATATAATTATGGATGTATAATATTATAAATGGATTACACTGGCGTCTGGCACTATGTAATTTGCGTTGTTCGTACCTAAATTGAATAAACAACGACCGATAGCGTTTCTATACGGAACATTGAAATGAGTTTTTCACATTTATTTTAAATAATATTACATTATTATTATAGGTATTATGTTTCGTTAAAAATAAAAAAAATTATCGTACCATATCAAAATGTAAAAGAAAAAATGTTTCTAATTTTTAGCTACCAAATAAAAGTGTTTCCTCTTTCTGAAATTCATTATAGCTTTATAAACTCTTTATGTGCCCTTTTGTTTGTTCAACCCTATGTGAAAGATACTTATAAGTTATATGTAATCTATATTATTATGTATGGTACATGTCATTCCATCAGAAATTAGCATGGCAATTTGTAATAGTAATTCCAAATTGTTTTCTTTATTATACTGTCAATATTAGGAATACAACATTTTTACCTTGAAATGAAAAATACTACGATAAAAATGGTCCTATTTTTATAGCCTAATTGACGAAACAATACAATTTTTGGTGACCAATATATTTTACCTATAAGTATAATCTAAATTATTTGTTTTAGATATAACTGTTACACTTTATTTGAATTAAACAATAAGTAGTATGTAATAGTATGCGAAATTTCAACTAAATTGAATAATGAAAACACATTCCGCATAGCCTTCAAAATATCTATCATAATGCTATAATTGACCACATAGTAAAAAAAAGTGATTATAATCAAAATTGTCTTGGATATTATTTAATGGGGTTCTAGTAAAAAAATTAAAAAACAGTCTGCTTATCTCATGATTTAAACAAAAACCAAATAGGTAGGTATAACTAAATCTGAAAAATATGATAAAATCTAATTTGATGATAACCCATTTTAATTCAACTCGAAACAAAAATTGAGTAACTTAATTAATAATTAATAATTATATTTAAGCTAAAGTACTAACTTAACAACTAGTGGGTAACGTTGATCCTTGGGAAAAAGTTCTCACTGAAAATAAAAAATAAAGCTGAATTCGCATAAGTGTTTTGGCCCGTCTTAGATCTAGTTGAAAACACTAAATTTTTACTTTAAACTAAACTAATGGGATTTTTTTATCAAAATACATTTTTCATAGTATTACAGAGATTTTTATTATTAAATTCTATGTGATGATATTTTTATAAATTGTTTTTAAA